GAACAAGGGATACTGCGTGGTTTAAAATGAGGAAGGGAGTGCATCAAGGTTGTATCCTTTCACCATAGTTGTTCAATCTGTCTGCTGAGCAAATAATCCAAGAGGCTGGACTGTATGAAGAGCATGGCACCAGGATTGGAGGAAGACTCATTAACAACCTACGATATGCAGATGACACAACTTTGCTTGCTTAAAGTGAGGATGACTTGGAGCACTTACTGATGAAGATCAAAGACTGCAATCTGCAGTATGGATTATACCTCAATATAAAGAAAACAAAAATCCTCACAACTGGACCAATAAGCAGCATCATGATAAATGGAGAGAAAATTGAAGTTGTCAAAGACTTCATACTACTTGGTTCTATAGTCAACACCAATGGAAGCAGCAGTCAAGACACCAGACAATGTACTGCATTGGGCAAATCTGCTGCAAAAGACTTTTCAAGTGCTGAAGAGGAAAAATGTCTCCTTAAAGACTAAGGTGCGCCTAACCCAAGCCTTGGTATTTTCAATCACCTCATATGCATGTGAGAGCTGGCCAGTGAATAAGGAAGACCGAAGAAGAGTTGATGTTTCTGAGTTGTGGTGCTGCCGAAGAATGCTGAAAGTACTGCCAAAAGAGCTAACAGATCCTGGAGGAAGTGCAGATATTATGCTCCTTGGAAGCGGGAATGGCCAGACTTCGTCTCACCTCCTTTGGTCATGTTGTCAGAAGGGACCATTCCCTGGAGAAGGTTATCATACTTGGTAAAGTGGAGAGTCAGCGAGAAAGGGGAAGGCCCTCAATGAGATGGACTGACACAGTAACTGCAACAGTGGGCTCAGGTCTAGCGCGGACTGTGAGGCTGGCACAGGACTGGGCAGTGTTTCGTTCTGTTGTGCATAGAGTCGCTATGAGTCAGAGGCGACTGGAATGCATGTAACAACAACAACTAAAAGGTTGGCAGTTTGAACTTACCAGCTGCTGTGCAGGAGAAAGACGAGGCAGTCTGCTTCCGTAAAGATTGACAGCCTTGGAAGCCCTATGGGTGACTTCTACCCTGCCCTGTAGGAATGATTCAATGGCAGTAGATTTGGTTTTTAATAAAAATCTACTGTGGAAATCACCAGTGTAAGACTTTCTTTTATATCTGTACTATGTTGTTCAGGTGCATTGGTTAAGGAGGCTTAGAATTTATTTTCAGTCTAGTTTTCAGTATCATACTCATCGACTCCTTCATATAGTTGAAGAAATGAATGGAGAAATTTAAGAAGTTTAGTCTACCAAATCAAATGATTAAGTGTTCATGATATTATGCAAAAGACCTGGAGAATATAAAAAAATCAAAATCAAAATTCCTTTCTGAAGCAGTAGAAACATAAGGAAATTTATTCAAAGAAGTTCTAATGACTTTTATGAACGTTGTTGATGAAGAGATTTAGAGAACAGTGAGAGAGAAGTCCTTTTCTACTGAGTCATGTCGTTGTAGTCTCCATCCTTGGGTTATGTCTCAGGCCAGATGCATTTGGTAAGATTGGATGGTATCAGTCAGGATTTTTCACTCATTGTTTTCTCCCATGGACCAATTATATTTCTATTTAAATAAATTCCTTAGAATTACCTGTGAGAAATACTTTTTAACACAGGAAAGCAGAGTAATAATATTATTATAATTTTTTAACCTTAATAATAAACTCTTGTGGTTAAAGTGTTTGAATCCAGGCCTTGGAGCTATTGAGTTGTACCTAAAGCGTTACTACTTCTTCTGAAGCCTTGTTTTTCTGGAGTTGGCCATTTTGCTCTAATAGCTAATGAATTTCCCAAGTTGCAGCAAGAATTTTCTTACTGGAAATCAGCAACGCTCTTCTGTAAATGGATTTCCATTTCACGTCAAGGAAACTAGCCTGAGACAAAATAGTCAGCAGCCTGGCATCCGCGGCACCGTTGGAGGGACTGGAGGCAAAAGGCGGAAGGAAGGATATGGGGGAGACAGGTGTGAGAGTGCGTCCCAACCCAGAAGTGATGAATTCTTGTTTGCACCCAGGGCCTTTCCCTTATATTAAGGAGTTGCCAGAGGGCAAGGTCCTGCCCTCACTTGAGAGTCTGTGGGGCCGATTCCACACCTCACGGACCCGACTGTTGTGTTACCTTCGTGCCCCAGGTGTTTTAGGTTAAATTAATGTTTTTTGAATAAGTGAAAATAAACTTTCCAAAGAAAACTGAAGAATCGACACTTAGTCTTTTCCTTAAAGTCATAAAATATGCTTATTTTTCTTATAGAGGAATTTGCCAGGGAATAAATCACTTTCTTCTGGTGCCTCATATGTTCTTTCTATGTTTATTTTGAAGAGAAAATTTGTTTATTGTTATAGGACATAAAGCCATGGAGTTCTCCCTTATTATCTTATTTTCTTCTTTCTTTTTTATTTTTTCTCAGGTTAATGGTTATCTTTCTCACTAATGCCTGGGAATTGGGATAAAGGGATTTTACACTGATTCTGATATTAGAGCTGAAATAGCACTGGCCCTTAGGTTTGGCTTGGTTTTTGGTAATTGATGGTTCTTTACCAGGTTACACAGGAGCGTCTTCAGAGGAGATTTATGTTTGAAACGTTTGTCTTGAGAATTGACATGGTGTCGAGATGACTTCCACATTCTTCTTACGGTGTTTGCTCTCCTTTGAAATAGTGAGGAGCCTATAAATAGTAACAGAAAACTGTCCTTTTTCTTCACTGTGTAAAGTGATAATGAAATTTTCCCACTTAGAGTATCATGTGAGTGTTTGATAGAGAAAGTTGGCAGTGTATTTGATAATGTTTTTTGTTCTGAAAACCTTTGATCTCATGCTTTGCATAAATAATAGGTTATGTTGCTTGCTCCCTGTTCCAAAAAAAAAAGTCAAACCCACTGCCATCGAGTTGATTCCAATTCATAATAACCCCCCTTGGGTTTCTAAGGCTGTAAATCTTTACTGGAAGAGATTGCCTCATCTTCCTTCCACAGCTGGTGGGTTTGAACCACTGACCTTCTGGTTAGCAGCCAAATGCCACTACGCCACCACAACTCCTATGTTCCCTATTAGGGGGTTGAAATTATGGTTGCAGAATGAACATAACGTATGCAAGAGTGACATTTAATATTATACTGAGTTTATGAAAAAATAGTGCAGACAAGTCTTATCCTAGAGGATTCCTCCCTCTCCTGAGAAATGGCTGTTCCGCTCACCACCCTGACGTCAGGGCAGGGCATGGAGATTTACACACACACACAGCAGTTGATCGGCGTATTTAAAGTTTCTATTTGATACCTAATCACCAATAGCAGTATTTTTGCAGCTGTGAAGCCTCAAAGTCATACATACCTGCAAAATAAAAACCCAAAACCAAACTCACTGCTGTTGAGTCGATTTCAACTCATAGCGACCCCTCCTTGGGTTTCCGAGGCGATATCTCATCTCTACAGAGGTAGATTGACTAGTTTTCCTTCTGAGGAGTAGCTAGTGGGTTTGAACTGCCAGCCTTCTGGTTAGCAGTCAGATGCCTTAGGAACTATGCCACCAGAGCTCCCAATAGGGAACAACCACCACAAAACAAAACAACAAAAAAACCTCTCAACCTGGGACTAAAATAGGTCTGGTTTTATGAGATGATGATGTATGGGGTCCAATAGCTCACCCATGATGGCAACCCTCATGGGTCTAGAATTCTTCTGGGTCATTTTCCTCATTAGTCTTAATTATAAATGAATCTTCCACGTGTCATTCAGGACTCAGCTGCAGAAGCTAATAATGATGACGATTTTAGACTTTTCTTCCAAGGCTCTGGCCACTCTTCTGTTGCCTGTTGTTGGGTGTCGACGGGTCAATTCTGACTCCTAGCGACCCGTGTGACAGAGTCGAACTGCCACCTCTCTCCCAGGCTGTCATCTTCACAGGAACTGATTATCAGGTCTTTCTCTTGTGGAGTGGCTGCTGGGTTAGAACCTCTGACCTTCCAGTTAGCAGCCACGTGCTTAACTGCTGTGCCACCAGGGCTCCTTGTGGAGTCAGTTACCGTCATATTTTATATTGATTTTGTTGTTGAACATATCAGAGTCATGACCTGTGAGAGTAGGTTTTGCCACGTAAGGGCCTGTTGGAGTCACAGCGGCTGTCACACGAGCTGGCATGATTGAGCCCTGGCTGTGTGCCAGGCCCTTTTCTAAGCACGTCATGCAGTGGCTCCTGCAGCCTTCACTGGTGGGGACTAGCAATGTCTCCGTTTTGCAAGCGCAGGGAGTCTGATGTGCTGCGGTCCCCTCGCCAGCTTCTAGCGCACGCTGGGACCCAGAGTCCAGTTCGAGCTCTTGCTGTCACACACTCCCCTTCAGGACAGAGGGTCCGTTACCCAGTGCCATTCGCCAGAGCAGCAGTATTTCCTTGACTCTCTTTCTGTTTCTCACGTACCACTCAGGGTATTTTCAGGAATACCACACGACACCACGTCAGTTACCATTCAGCCGTCATCAACAGGAGTAACTGGAGAGGGCTTGGTAAATAAAGGCCAGGGGCCTTCGGGCAGGAAAATGCCTATTTTGGCAAAAGGCAATTTCACTCTCCTCACGGCCTTCCCGCCACTGTCCTGTATGTTCAGGGAATGCTTCCACGAGAGCAAAGGTGAGCTCTTCATAGCTGGCCCAGAGATCCAGGGGGCGTGTGTTTAAGTGGGTTTCCTGGACGGACAGAGGGAGACAGGGAAGGGACAGAAGGCCCCCTTTTCCTGCAGCTCTTGGAGCTGAGAGCGCAGGTTTCCGAACCCCACTCGTCACGGGATAGAGCCATTCTAATTTCGCTGTTGTCTTTTGTGTCTAATGAACAGGGTGTGGAATTGTACAAGAGTGTCCTTTCCCCGTGAAGCTAGTGATCATTCCATGGGTTCCATGGGCTTTATGACTTCTAGAGGTTTCCATTGGCATGTGAAGCCCATTGGCTGTTGTATATGGAATTACATTCACTGGTCTTTGTGTCTTGATTTCAACAGCATCACTGCGAAACTTGAAAGAGCTCTAGAAAAGGTGGCTCCTCTTCTCCGCGAGATTTTTGTCGACTTTGCCCCGTTCCTGTCCCGCACGCTGCTCGGCAGTCATGGTCAAGAGCTGCTCATAGAAGGTACGCTTTCCCTCTGTCCTCACGATGGTCTCTTCCTCCGTGTGTCTGTCAGTCGTGGCTGCTCTGTGCTTGTGGGGAAACACACATTGCTGAAAGACTGAACCTCACTGCCCCAAGTCCTAACAGATCTTTAGTTAGTCCTCTCCACCCATTCATTTGGTTAAACCATGTATGTTTGCACAGCCTGAGCCAGTAACACACTGGAGACCTGAGAACAGGTGGTAGAATGGGAGGCCCTGGCCTTCTCACCAGCTCTGCCCACCTGCTGGATGGCCTTCTGTCGGGATAACTTATCATTGGGATAGTGTGTTGACCAAGCAGTGGTCTCTAAAATGTCCTCACTCAAGGGCCTTGCTTCTTTAAATGATCACCTTCTTCCCACGAAGTATGAAACAGGAAGTACTTAACTAAGAGCACAGTATAATGTAAAGAAATGCCAACTGTGACTGGACAGAGCTATGACCTTCTTCTAACCCTAACCCTAACCCTAATCCTAACCTAATCCTAGGGCTAGGATGGGCTGCAGCAGCAGAGGTTCAGATCACTGGTGTAGAATTTTAACGTATGTACCTGTATGCGGAAGGAAGGCTGGGCAATCTACTTCCGTAGTGATACTGCCCTGGAAACCCAAGGAGGGGTCGCTGTGAGTCGGGTCCGATTCAATGGCACATAACAACAACGTACCCATATGAGGAGAGTGGAGCTCTGGTGGCGTAGTCGATAAGGCACTAGGCTGCTAACCTAAAGGTCAGCAGTTCAAACCCACCAGCTGCTTTGCTGAAGGAAGACTAGGTGATCTACTTCTGTAAAGATTTACAGCCTCAGAAGCCCAGTAGGAGTTGCTATGAGTCAGAAACAACTCGACGGCAATGAGTTGGGTTGTTTTTTTTTTTTTAAATGGGGAGAGTGGGTTTGGATAAGTAATGGGGATTTGAAGCCTTATTTCTTGAAAAAGTTTCCTTTTACGGCTATTCCTGAGCCTCTGAAAGCGATGGTCAATACCCAGCTGGTCCTTTGAGGACAGACAGCTTTCGGCGGCATTTCCCGCAGTCCTTAGAGGCAGCAGCTTTACGTCCTGTTTTGCCTTTTCCTGGTTCTTGCTCTGAGACAAGCACTGTCTTCGACACGAGGTGGAGGGTGAAGACTGGCCACATCCCTGCCTCCATGAGGCTCACACTCCAGCAAGGAGAGACAGGAGACAAGCAGTAAAGACAGTGATTACGTGGCGTGGCCTGCTGGCCGGTGTGAGTGCACTGGCAGAGGAAGGGGACAGCGGGGGGGAGCTGAGGATTGCTGAAATGGTGCAGCACGGCCGCAGTCACACAGGGTGCTCAGGGGAGAAGCCACCTTTGGCCAGAGCTGAAGGAGGCGAGCCACGCAGCTCACCAGGAGAGGAGTGCGGAGCACGTTCAGTGACTGTCTGGCGGCTTCATTAAACAGGAAGGAGCCAGTGTGATGTGGGCGGAGCAGAGTGAGCACAGGGAGAGTAGGTGAAGGGCACGGCAGTGACATTGACTCGGACGTGGGTGAGCGGGAGGCTGGTGAGGAGCTCGGAGGGGAGTGGGGATATTGCGGTGGAAGCAGCTGTCGTCATTGTTAATACTGCCTCCACCGAAGAGTGGGGCTCCAGAAAGAGGCCCACGGCCTCAAACAGCCCAAAAGTGAATTCGGGAAGCTCGTGGAAACTTAGCCATCCCTCGCTGGCTGCCGATTGTCTGTGCCCTGGAGAGCCTGTTCCCCGTGGAGACGCGTGTTTGCACAAGGCTCTGCGTTCACTGGCTCACTCCCCAAAGAAAGAAGGTGCTTTTCCGTGTGGTGTGCCAGGATGAAAAAGCACAGTTGCTACCTGCAGGGAGCTTACCGTCTGACGGGACGTCAGACATAAACAGCAATCATGAAAGGAGACGTGCCCTGCAGGCCTGGCGGTGCACGTGCGAGATGCAGTGGGGAGTGAGGCTGGCGGCTCACCGGGCACTTCTCCAGGGCCCTACCCCCAGAGCCACTCCCTCGTCTGAACAGGACCCATGTGTGGAAAGGACAGCTAGTGTTCCTGCTGCCACCGTGTAACCCCCGTCCGTCCTGGCTCAACACAGCCTTCTGAACTCCAGGCAGATTTCGAGGTCCCTCGAGTGAGCACCTCCACTGTCACGACTGCCTTCTCTCCTGAAGTTCTTTATCCTGCTGTTAACATCCCCGTTAAGGAAACATTTGACATAAAACTCTGATTTTCCTCTAAATCTTCTCCACCTTCAACTTCAGTGTTTAAAGTACTTGGTAAACATTAATGATTTCTGAAAATAATAGTAATTTGGAGACTAGTTCTTCAAATATTCCCACTGCTACAAGTGTTATGTTAGGCCACACTTGAAAGCTTTCCAAGGTAACACGGACATGGCATGAGGGTGAGGGTGTCGTAGTTGTGTATTCCAGCGAGAACTAGGTGGTGGTTGGTTTGGGATAACTTCCTGTTGAGCACCTTGGAGTTGGAAGCTGCTAGGGAGCAAGAAGGCTTATCACGTACATTTCCACCTTCATGCTTTTCTGTAACGTGGGTCACTTTATGATAATAAGAAAAAATAAAGTGCCAGTAAATATTTTATTTAAAAAAGAACACACTTTAAACGTTCCTTCCATTCCTGTAAGAGAAAAGCCTTTATTTTTTAAATCTATTTATGTATATCTTACCCCTTTCCTGAAACGATTTGAACATATTTTACAGAAAGTCATAAAGAGTGATCAAAACCTACTGAACTGAAATAAGGAATAATGTTCGTAATGTAGAACAAACGGGTCCCTGACTGTTATTAAAACTGGGTTAGAGTTTCTGCACTAAGCTGTCTAGCAACCAAAGCAAAACAGACATCTTGCGAAGTTGAAAGACTCACTCCCTTTGTTCCTGAGTGTAGTAGACGGGGTTCTCTAGAGAAATAAAACCAGTAAAGCTTATAGACAGAGAGAAAGAGAAATTCATCTTAGGAAAATGTCTCACACACTTATAGAAGCTGGAAAATCCCAAGTTCTTGGATCAAACCTCAAGCTGGAGGCTTTTCCTGACTCATGCAGCTGCGGGGGCTAAGGAACTCAAGGTTGGCAGGCAGCATACTGGCTGTTGCCTCCAACAAATGATGAATCCAAGATCTCCAGGCCAAATGGTGGATTGTTCACTCACAGACAGTTGTAGGCAGCACCACCGAATCACAATCCACAGAAGAGTGTCTCTTTTCCCAGGATGTCCATAAATATACTGGAAGCAGGTCACACCCCTTGGGAAACTCCCTTTCAATGGATTGGCTGCTCAAAACATATACATCTGATCCCATCATTGGAACAGCCCACATCACAATTGCTTAAACCACACAGAATTGTGGTCCCGCCAGGTTGACACACAGCTCCAACTATCACAGTCCACCCCTAGTCAACGTGGTAGTTGTACACATATTCTTAACCATATATACTCTAAATAAGGAAATTATAAAGTCATATTTGCATCTAACATCTAACACACCTACAACCAAAACGCATTAACCTTATTTATATTTCACAGTTCATAACAGAAGGAAGCAAAAATATTTGATGCACATATACAATGAAGAAATACAACAATCACAGTCCTCGTTTCTATAACTGGTCACATGGTCGTAGCTGATATTCAGGACTACCATCTTCCACCACCCATTCTGTATTTCCCTTGGCCTCAGCAAGCACCTCAGCTGGTCGTGGTTCTTTGCCTGGGGAGGTGACCCAAACCTTCATTCCTGAAAGGTCTGGGCCATTAGTAGTCATATCAGAAATCGATTGCTGTAATTTTCCATTGACTTTAATCACAGGGCATGGTAGTACTAAGAGACATCCTAAAGAATCTCCTGTATTCCAGACATACTCTTCTTTACTTCCATTATGTAATGTCAATCCAATTTCCCCTTGGTAATCAGGATCTATCACACTAGATAGTACAGTAATGCCCTTCTTTGTCTGTTGATCCAGAGGCATGAGGACGCCAAAATGGCCAGGTGGCATTCTTAATTTCCAGTTCAATGCAATCAGTATTGTGTCTCCAGGTGGGAGTGTTCTTCCTCTTGGGACTAAGATTTCAAGACCTGCAGAGCATAAGGTAGCAGGGACAGGAAGCAAAAAAAAATTTTGAGTGGGTCACTAGGGGTAATAATGAGTGGTACCACTCCTATTTCCACCCCTTGGTTCCTGGACCTGTGAATCCTGGCTATTAGAGAAATAGCACTGTGTATCAGACACTGGTTTAGAGCATATACTGCCTCCTGAAGAACATTGCCTCAACCCTTCAGGGTATTGACACCTAGCTGGTGCTGCAGTTGTGTTTTCAGTAGGCCATTCCATCGTTTTATCAAGCCAGCTACTTTAGGATGATGGGGAACAGGGTAAGACCAGTGAATTCCATGAGCATAAGCCCCTTGCCATACTTCATTTACTGTGAAGTGAGTCCCTGGATCAGAAGCACTGCTGTGTGGGATACCAAGATGATGCATACAGCATTCTGTAAGTCCATGGATGGTAGTTTTGGCAGAAGCACTGTGTGCAAGGAAGATGAATCCATATCCAGAATAATTGTCTATTTCAGTAAGAACAAAACACTGTCCTTTCCATGATGGAAGTGGTCCAGTGTAATCAAACTGCCACCAGGTTGCTGGCTGATCACCCCGAGGAATGGTTCCATATCGCGGACTCAGTGTTGGTCTCTGCTGCTGGCAGATTGGGCATTCAGCAGTGGCAGTAGCCAAATCAGCCTTGGTAAATGGGAGTCCAGGTTACTGAGCCCATGCATAACCTCCACCCCTGCCACGGTGGCCACTTTGTTCATGAGCCCATTGAGCAATGACAGGAGTAACTGGGGAAAAAGGATGGCTGGTTTCCACTGAACGTGTCATCCTATCCACCTGATTGTTAAAGTCCTCCTCTGCCGAGGTCACCTTTTGGGGGGCATTCAATGAGACACAAATATCTTTACTCCTTTGGCCCAGTCAGAG